ACCTCAAACAAATTTAAAATTTGAACTGGCATGAGCATACACATGGCAAGCAAAGATGTCTTCTAGCTATCATGAACAAAATATGGATTTTACAATGGATGTAGATCAAAAAGTTACAAATAACTGTATTGACATTGATTAGTGCAGATGTATTCTTCTGATGACATGACTCTTGGATTTAGGAAGATTGCTGTTTTTACAAATTTATGGATAACATCTTTTGGTAAGTACATTGGATTAGAATTTCCACCATTTTGAATAAGTGCATTATATATATGCTCTTTTAGTTCAAAATAGTGATATTTAAAGTGTCTTCTTAACTTTTTAGAGTGAAGAAAAAAATTAGACAATTATCAAAATGTGTAAGACAGGAGACATATTTTTTTTATTATTAAGACAATTTATTTTAGAAAGTATTACTAATAAAATAAGAATCTTCTAATATAATGAATTTGGTATAAAACTAGAGATCTGGGGTATGACTGCCAATAAGACATCTATCCACAAATGAAAGATAAATATATATATCTTTTTTTATGGTTGAACAACACTTTCTGTTTTGAGTATTTTTGCAATGTGCACTTTGAATACCCATTTTGTACTGACTGTTGCCATTTTGGTTTATCAAGGGGGGTGGGGGCAGAAATTTTTAAGAAAAGAAAATTGTTTTTGGGTTAAATGAGCAGATACACTTAATACAGTTAATAGGGTAATAGAAATTTTATTAAGGCCTTTAACTATAATTTAAAACAATTTTGCTTAGACATAGCTAGATCAATTTTACTAGTCCCTGGTTTTACCTATAGAATGATCAATCATGAAGACAGCATTTAGAATTATTTTTACAATACTTTGCTTTATTGAGGCACTCTGACAGTCAACAAATTAAAATAGCGGGGAAGAACAATTTCATAACCTTTTTTCCCAAATAGTAAAGCAAAGTATCAGACACATTCTTATCTTGTATTTATCCACATTTGTTTAGTTAAATTAATTGATTTGTATAATTGGTTTATAAAGGTAGGCAATACAGAACAGACTTTTGATGCCAATGTTTCAGAACAAATATGATATATGATTATGTCATCTTATTAATTTTACAAACAGTGTTTTGTCACATTTATAGTTATCATAATTATATATATATATATATATATATAGGTTTAATTTATTTTTAATTTCAGACTTTGGTCTTATCCATTTCAAGATGTTGTACACAGATGTCACATGTGCAATTAATAAAAAAATGTACAGTGGAAGGAAGATATTACAAAAGAAAGAAAAGGACAATTAAGGATTTTTCAACATTAAACATTGTTTCAATATATATATCTTACTTCTTCTTGCATAAAAAGTAATATGGCTGCAGGATTAACTAGATTTTATTTACTACCGGTAGATAACATTTAAAAAGCAAGGATAAAGCTGTCATGTAGTCTGTTGTGAATTTAGATCTTTCAGCAGTATTTTGGCTATATAAAATACACAATTTAAATTCATTTTTTCTACAATTTATGGTCATCAGTTTGCAATGACCAGCTAATGCTCAACTTTTAAAGACCTGGCCCTCAACTATTGGCCACCTAGCCCTCAACTTTTAATGACCTAGCCCTCAACTATTGGCCACCTAGCCCTCAACTTTTAATGACCTGGTCCTCAACTGTTGGCCAGGTAGCCCTCAACTCTGATTGCTCAACTGTTGGACACCTAGCCCTCAACTATGATATTTTGCTCAACCTTGCTCAACTAATTTGCATAAAGTTGAGCATTGATAGTTGAGGGCTACCTAATTTGCATGGCAAAAATCCATGTAGCCCTCAACTGGCCCTCAACTATTTGCTCAACTGACAGCCAGCTAGCCCTCAACTGGCCCTCAACTGTTTGCTCAACTGGCGGCCAGTTGAGCAATGCAGTTGGCCATCCTATCATTTTTTCTGTATGGGTAATCATTCATTTTTTTTAATTCCAGAAGTGTAAACAATATTACAGTGGGACAAGTTTCGATTACTTTCTATGCAATTTGCATTAAATCAAAATATGAAGTTAAAAAATAGTACTTTTAATCTTAAAAATTAAACTTTTCGTTTCCCAATTTATAATAATTGCACATCTGTTTAATTTACTTTACCGGACTTCTTTAACTTATATTTAAATCTGGCTATGTTAAAATGCTAACAATCGTAAAACTCTCTTAATTTTTAATTGAAAAAAAAAATACAACAGTACAACATGCATGATTTTTTTAATTTTCTTTTTAACATTTCATTCTTTCATAATTAAATTAATCTGCCAATCACTTAAACGAATTATTTGTAAAAATTATTGTTTATTTCATTAATGGATATACATACATTATAAATATAAGCTAATACATAGGATTTTTTTTAACAAGTTTTTTTTATATTCTATTATAATTTTGTGCAATGCTAAACAGGATAGCCATCATTAATCCAAATAAGTAATACAGTAGTTGGAATAAAATGCATATCTGTGTAATGTGTAACTGATATTGACGATTTTAGAACAGGTCGTCCCAACCTCGTTGTTCTTGAAACAATCCTTACTAGTAGACTTGCAAGTTTCCTGACGTATAAGCGCCAGAGGTTCTTTCTAACAGTCAAAGCAGACTAGTAGCTTTTCGTTAGTATGTATATGTACAAGTGACATGTCTGACTCTGAACAGTTAGGAAACCGACTTAACAATGATCTATAGACATCGACCGCTTGTTCTTGATATTTGAAACTGCATGCATAAATTATATATACGTTTATGAGAGTGATTATTTATCTTGTGTCTGACGAAAACTAAATGCCTGCATGGTTATATCTTGCCATTTTGTATTGGTTTGGTGGGTGTTCACTCAAAATCGTAATTCAAAAATTGTGTTTGTGAGATGTAGATTCACTTCAATAAAGAATTTCGTCTATATATTTGTTACAAGTGTATACCACAGAGAAGCTCTAAAAGTATATTACTCCCATTTGGTTTGGGTGTGAACCATCGATGTTTACAGCAATATTTAATGAATAAGATGATGATGGTAGAAAGAAATATGAGCGTTATGTGGCAAATATTACATAAATGTCGGACTATGAGTTATCTATCTGTATGAAAGGATTTCCAATACATTGCATTGTACAACCATGTCGTTTGACTCAGACACACATCTTTTACTTTAAGATATATGTATGAAAGATTCTATATATATATTAAATGTAACAATAATCAAACGCCTACAGGTAATAACTAAACGGGTATGAAGTTTTTATACAGATTTATTCTTATTTACATAATCATTAACAAACTAAATAAATTGAAGAAAGAACTACAGTGACACACACTACGATATAACAAATGGGATACTTAATTATTTTTAACCATGCTATGCAGAAACTTAACACATCAAGTTAGCGCACGTGAATACCAATTTGGAACACGATGTGTGATTTTGTATAAAAATATCAAAGTGAGCAGTAACTTTGTCTAGCAAACATTTTTTACTATGCCTCTCTTTATCTCTTTCCCTTTACAATTACTATTACCCTTTTCGTCGATCATTCTCTATATATAGATATAAGAAGATGTGGTATGAGTGCCAATGAGACAACTCTCCATCCAAGTCAAAATTTATAAAAGTAAACCATTAGTATATTTTTTTCTAATCGGTTTTTAGCTCACCTTGCCCGAAGGGCCAAGTGAGCTTTTCTCAGCACTTGGCGTCCGTCGTCCGTCGGCGGCGGCATCGTCGTCGTCCGTCGTCGTTAGCTTTTTACAAAAATCTTCTCCTCTGAAACCACTGGGCCAAATTTAACCAAACTTGGCCACAATCATCATAAGGGTATCTAGTTTAATAATTGTGTCCGATGACCCCGCCAACCAATCGAGATGGCCACCATGGCTAAAAATAGAACATAGAGGTAAAATGTAGATTTAATTAAAATTAATTTCAAGTTCTTTGACTACATTTATTCAGAAACCTATAATATGTCAAATATTTAATTACAATCCAAATTCAGACCTGTATCAAGCTTAAATATTGTGTCCATTTTTGCCCCAACTGTTCAGGGTTGGACCTCTGTGGGCGTATCCAGCTGCGCTCAGCGAAGCAGTTTATTATTTTACTATAACTCTAAAATGCTTTGAACAATTTTCATGAAACTTTAGTGAATTGTTTATGTATACTGACACAAGTTCCCTTTCATTTTAAAAAAAAATTCTGGTTTCATGTTTTGGAGTACTGGGACTTTATTCATAAAAAAGGGGAGGATTTCCCAGTTTTTGGACAATAACACAAAAACACTTTGAGCAGTTTTCATGAAACTTTGGTGGCTTGTTTATATCTATTGAAATATTTAGCTCCTTTTTGTTTTTTTATAAATTTCTGTATGACATTGGGTAGTGATGGAACTTTATTTGTTGAAAAATTGTCGAAAACTGTCCATTTTTCACTTTGGACGGTTATAGAATTTTATTTGTTTATAAATCAAGGCCACAAACTTAGTTAAACTTGAGGTTGCCTTAATTGTGCCAAATTATTCATGTTTTGTGTCAATGGGTACCACTGTGTGTAGTAAACTTTTAAGTGAGCACTGCTCACAGTATTTCTAATTGATCACATAAATTCATTTAAAGTATAAAGACGAGCTTAAATGGCGACAGGTGTATCATGCACTCATGGCACAGCTCTTTATTATTTCTGTTGCAATGGAAGAAGAAATGAAATTCATCATCTATTTCTTCAATACAGCAAGAATTCCATTTATTAGATAAAGAAAAGTAAGAGCAATTCTGAAAAAAAAATTATTGATGGATATATAGGATGGCTGTATATTTAGAAAAACAATCAAAGGTATATTAACAGTAAAGCAAAAAGAATGGTAAAAAAGATTTTTCAAAATATAAAGGAATACCTTTGTTAATTAGATGAAGCAGTATTATAAAAATTGGCAAAGTTTGGCATTACAAAATAATAATTGTTATTAAATATTTTATATTGTAGACTTGGAACTGGATGGTCAGTCCACACAGAAAAGTTTACGAAATTTAATAAAGGGGAACAACTTAGTATGGAAGAACAAGACCATATTATGAATGTTATATCAAAGTCTGAATATATAGAGCAGGTTGAACAGGAGAGAATTGGGTAAAAAATCCTTTTCAAATGTAACTCTACAATAGATTTGATGTGTTATCCAACCTCATTATAACCCCCCAACAAAAAAAAAAACAACACACGCAACTGCTTAGGTGTTTGTCCGTTCATTTGTCAGTCTGTTGGTTTGTCTGTTCATTTGTAAGTCCTTTGGTTTGTCTGTCCATCATATTTTTGGGGTTTACTTTAGCTTAACATGAACTTTTTCATATCTAGACACTACATGTACAGTACACATTTGTATCAAACTTTCCTCCTAAACACTTAGTCAGAATTTTATGAAACTTTTTCAGAATCTTCACCATATAATGCCATTGTGCACCCAGGGCTTCCAAAAAATATTAGAGCCAGCCAGACATTTTTATACGACCGCAAAAAAATTTTGTGGTCGTATATTGGTATGACGTTGGCCATATCGTCATCGTCGTCCAAAGACACATTGGTTTTCGCACTCTAACTTTAGTTTAAGGGAATGGATCTCTATGAAATTTTACCATAAGGTTCAATACCACAAAAAGAAGGTTGGGATTGATTTTGGGGGTTATGGTTCCAACAGTTAAGGAATTAGGGGCCAAAAATAAGCGTTTTTGTAACTTCCAGACATAACTTGTGTGTTAGTGTATGGATCTCTCTTACATTGTACCACAAGGTTCCATATCACAAAGGGAATGCTGGGATTGATTTTGGGGGTAATTGCCTCAAAATTTTAGGAATTAGGGGCAAAAAAAGGGGCAAAAAACAAGCATTTTTCTAGTTTCATGATAATAACTTGTGTGTAAGTGTATGGATCTTTATGAAATTGTACTACAAGGTTCCATATCACAAAGGGAAAGCTTGAATTCAGTTTGGGGTTAATTGCCCAAAACGTTTAGGGATAAGGGGCCAAAAAGGGGCAAAAAATAAGCATTTTTCTAGTTTCCAGACAATAACTTGTGTTCAAGTGTATGGATCTCTCTGAAATTGTACTGCAAGGTACCATACCACAAAGGGAAGGCTGGGATTGATTTTGGGGGTAATTGCCTCAAAATTTTAGGAATTAGGGGCCAAAAAGGGGCAAAAAAACAAGCATTTTTCTAGTTTCAGGACAATAACTTGTGTGTAAGTGTATGGATCTTTATGAAATTGTACTACAAGGTTCAATATCACAAAGGGAAAGCTGGGTTTGAGTTTGGGGGTAATTGCCTTAAACGTTTAGGAATTTGGGGCCAAAAAGGGGCCTTAAAACAAGCATTTTTCTAGTTTCCAGACAATAACTTGTGTTCAAGTGTATGGATCTCTCTGAAATTGTAGTGCAAGGTACCATACCACAAAGGGAAGGCTGGGATTGAGTTTGGGGGTGATGAATCATAAGGGGGTTCAAAAAATTTGGGGGAGGGATTTTTTTTCTCTTTAAAATTTTCCATTTTAAATTGGTTATTTCTGATTTATATATAAAAGCAAATGATAATGATATGGTTTGAATAGGTAAATTAAAAATTTTTAAGTTCTTAGACCACATTCATTCTGTGTCGGAAACCTATGCTGTGTCAAATATTTAATCACAATCCAAATTCAGTGCTGTATCAAGCTTGAATGTTGTGTCCATACTTGCCCCTACTGTGCAGGGTTCGACCTCTGCGGTCGTATCAAGCTGCGCCCAGCGGAGCATTTTATTTGTCTTATCCCAATTTTAATCCCTTAAGATCTAGTAACAAAAGGCAGTCATGGTAATCAGTTGGACATCATATAAACAATGATTGACATAAAAACTATATTCAACTTGACTTTTGTTATAAATTTGATGTTCTGAAGTAAACTGTTAAATTGACAGTTCATCGTTCGAAGTGTGCAACATCAGCGTACTTATATCTACCTTAGACTCTTTATTTGTGCAAAATTACACTGCATAAATATTTACTTTCGTTTTAAAAAAGCCTATTTTCCTAAAACCGGATGTTTACTTGACATTGGTTAAACACGCACCACAGACGTTACGTAAAATCTGTGTACATTTACTAAGCATGATTGTGTTTAAGAAGCTCTTTCCACGTTATTTCTTCAAGAAAATACTGGAAATGAATGTTAGATAAAGGTACCAATGATAATTTTAGCATTTTTGAAGAATTCAGATGCATAATTAAATCTCACACCTACCAACATGCGCACAATTGTACTAGTTCAAACAGTATGGTTCATACAGTTTTTCGCTTAAAATCTTTATTACTACCTTTTAAAATTTTTCATTAAATCATAGTTATATATGTATTTCTGATGACCAAAATCTTTTTGACTATATTAATTATATGCAAACCACTGAAATTCAAGAAAATAACTTCGTACGGTGACCTATAGTTGTTAATTTCTATGTCATTTGGTCTCTTGTGATGAGTTGTCTAATTGGCAATCATACCACATCTTCTTATTTTTATATTAAACAGACTGATCAATGTCCAGTTCAAAATAGTTTACCTGTCACCTTGAACAGGTAAATTTCAGTTGTCAGACAACTAATTAATCATGATGTAATGAGAGGATATTAAAGTAGGGTTTGTTTTGATAGTACTTATATTCATCATGTCACTTTTATGACCAGAAATGTGTGGCTGTTTTAGGCAAAAGGTCCAATTTTGCACAGAAACGAAATAATATAAAGTGCCAATGTCCTGATGTCTACAGTATTAAGAGAAAGACTGAAACTTGTTGGTGGTTCTCGGATAAATTTCTCCTGGTTTCAATAAAAAATAATCGCAACTACTCACTGTAACGAAAGTATCTCACACATTCCTCTATTTTCAAGGATATAACCTGCTATTTTTCATTTCCTTGAGCCTACATATGGGAAGTGAAAATTTAGGCGTGTTTGCTCAAATCTACAACTTCTTGGTGGTTCTACATAAATTTCTCTGTTTCAATTAAACAAATTTGCTCCAGAGGCAACCAATCACCTTAATGAAGGTATCCCGCATATTCCTCTACTTTCTATGATTTTATCTGACAGTTCTTAATGACAGGGCCAGAAAGGGGAAGCAGAAATCTTTGTTTAAAGCAAGGTGAGTTTGAATAAAAATTGCATTCTTATATTTCTTGAAATCCTCATAACTTTGTCATTTCTTGGTTGTTTTCCACCATAGTTGGACGATACACTTAAGGATCTTCTGTCAAATGTAATTGCACAGTATTAACACTTGTAAATTGAGTTTTTAAGATAAATACACCTGTATTTTAATAACCCAGACACCGATTACAATCACCTGACATTAGTGGTTATTACTTGTTTGCTGTAACAGCCTGGTACATCAGAGGGTCATCGTTTTCCTCTTATCGAATTGCTATCCTGGCCAGGATGCTAATTTTTTATCAACCAGAGTGTGCAATCTCCTTCTCATACAACCTCCTTTGTTTAAATTAATTAGTTTGTGATAAGGTCAGTTAAGAGGACCCATTAGTGTTAGGTCAATGAAATTTGGTAGGCAGAGGTTTAAGCATTTGCACATCTCATTTCCTTGGAGATTATTTGGCTTCTCCCCTTCAGTTATGGTCTATTAACTTTGAATATGTTGAATATGTTAATGTGTGTGATTAGATCAGTTTAAGATAAACCACTAATGTTAAGTCAATGATATTTGGTATGCAGTTGTATAAGCATTGGCATTTCTCATTTCCATGGAGGTTATTTGGCCCTGAACCTTCAATCATGTTTCATCGACATTAACTTGAATGTTTTGGATAGTTTACATGTTTAAAGGTTGTCAAAGTCATGTTCACCATTTTGACTCGAAGTCTCAAATTTGATTTATAACATCATAAAACATATATCCAAATTATAAAAAGTCTGAAATAAACAATTTACGATGCATGGACTCAATAATATCATCTAATTAACCATCGAGGTGACCTCTGAAGACCGCAGACAGTATGATATAACCCGATATAAACATATATATAAATATAAATAGATAGCGAACATGTGCAATTGGATTTTTCTAGGTCTGTTTGATTTCATATCATAGGTTCATAAAATATGTTAATCATCGTTTTTACCTGTATAAGAATGAGTTTTTGTGGATCGAATCCATCAACCAAATGGTTTACCCTTGTTTCACTTTCAATGTTGACATTCCTTTTCCTTTTAATAGCTGACCACACCTAGTTTATGCGTAACCCATCTCTAGCTAAGGGATTAAATTGAAGGTCACATGAATACGAATTCAGGGAGGTCGAAATTATTCACTTGCAAGTGAATAATTCATCAGCGATGTTTCTTAGCTTATTTTGACAAAATTGAACCAAACTGGCTGCTAAAAGCGAATTATTATTTCACTATTTCACTTTCATAATTAATGATTTAACAAAAAAAATCATATTTTAATTTTTTTAAATCTCGTATCTAATATGCCCCTTTAAATATTGCCATCTTAATTTCAACATTTGTGTTTTACTATCAAAATTACAAAAAGTGAGACATATGTCTGTGTCAACAGTTTATTTCTACAGGAAACATTCAGATTCAGTCTAAGTTAAGTTTTTCAGTCGTCAATAACTTTGTCTAACCTTTGTGGAATTTTTTTTTAAGTTGGACAGAAATTTTTTTATGATTTAAAGACAGTATCTAGAGCAAAATAATAAAAATGTATTTTTCATTTTAACCGGATTTCCGAAGGAAAATATCGCCAATTAATTTGGTGATGTTAAAAGGCGCTGGCCGGGCCAGCATTCAAGCAGCCTGGCGGCGGCTGCCAATAGTTGTCCATGTAATAACGCTTTGACGAAATCTGTTCAAATTTAGATATGTTGTTTCCTGTGACTAAATGAAGGCCAAGTTCGATTTTCTCGATTTTAGCTTCAATTGCTGTTGAGTTGTAGACCTTCAAGTAGGGAAAAGTGATACTTAGAGTGTTGTCTGTGCATTAACTTGAAAATACTTCGACAAAATCTTTTCAAATTTAGATATGTTGTTTCCTGTGACTTAATGAAGGTCAAGTTCGATTTACACGATTTTAGCTATTAACGTTGTTGAGTTGTAGACTTATAAGTAGCCAAAAGTGATACTTAGAGCGTTGTCCATACAATAACTAGAAAACGCTTTGACAAAATCTTTTCAAATTTAGATATGTTGTTTCCTGTGGCTAAAAGAAGGTCAGGTTCAAATTTCACCATCATTTTTCCATTGACCATGCATATGTTACAAGACAACAATCGTTTTGAAGTGGGTTTCTGGAAAGTTATTGGAGTGACCACAAGATTCTATGGTTTCATATTAAATAAAATTGTAATCTCATAAACATATTTCTTTTATTATTGACTTCATGATTTCTGCCTACCCACCCCTGCTGAACAAATGTGTGTGTACTTATATACTCTCTTGAATTCCAATATTATGTCACTTATGATAAATAGGTCAAGATTGATTTTGGCCTTTCCATTTCTGAACCCTACAAAAATTCATTTATTTTTTTTACTTGATCCTGTTTGGGGGTCCAGATTTGCAAATATCATTTTCATGTAGGAAAATCCGGTTTGCTGTCAATCTGACAGCCTCTTGTTCTGTGTTTTACTGATAAAAGGACTTATTGTTTTGCAGTAAACAAGTAGATGCAGACTGGGGTAAAAGTTTGCTACACATCAATTACTTTGTCAAAATTAAGCTTAATACTAAAATTTACGATAAAAGAGATGATTTTTCATTTCCTATTGTTAACTATCCATTTTAGCTCACCTGGACAAAAGGCCAAGTGAGCTTATCTCATCACTTTGCGTCCGTCGTCCGTTGTTGTCCGTCCTCTGTTTTCTTCTGTTAACTTTTACAAAAATCTTCTCCTCTGAAACTACCAGGCTAAATTTAACCAAACTTGGCCACAATCGTCATTGGGGTACCTAGTTTAAAAAATGTGTCCCATGACACCCCCCCCCCCCCCCTTTTGCCAACCAAGGTGGATGACATGGCTGAAAATAGAACATAGGGGTAAAATTCAAGTTTTGCCTATTAATTTGAAAACCGCTATAAATAGGGAAATTCTAACAGTGCAAAAATGTCCAGAATGTTGAGCTCTACCTATTGTGTATTAAATCAAAACTGTCAGATGACTTCATATAAGAGTTATTGCCCTTAAATGACGAATTTTACCATTTTAAAAATGTTTTCCTATTATTCTTGAAAATTATAATAGATAGACAGAAACTTTAAAAAGCAAAAATGATCAGCAAGACAAGATCTATAAATAAGTTGAAATCATGACCAAAATCGTCAGGCAATTCTTTATTAGAGTTATTGCCCTTTAATGACGATTTTTACCAACTTTTTTGTGTTTTTGCCTGATATCTTAAAAACTTTAAAAGAGAGATAGAAACAATGTAAGCAAAAATGATCAGCAGGACAAGATCTACAAATATGTCAACATGACCAAAATCGTTAGTTGACTCTTTATTGAAGTTATTGTCCTTTAATGACGATTTTTCCCATTATTGCCTATTATCTTGAAAATTGTAATAGATAGATAGAAACTTGAAAACTGTAATAGATAGATAGAAACTTTAAACAGCACAAATAGCACAAATGATCAGCAAGACAAGATCTACAAATGAGCCATAATGGCTGATATCTTCAGTCGACTCGTTTTGGAGTTATTGCCCTTTAATGATAATTTTTTAATTTTTTTTGTGCATTTTTTGCCTATTATCTTGAAAACTATAGTAGATGAATAGAAACTTTAAAAAGGAAAAATTATCAGCAGAATAATATCTACAAATATGTCAAAATTACTGAAATTGTCAGTTAACTCTTAATAGAGTTATTACCATTAAATGATGGTTTTTCCAAAATAGTGGCCATTGTTGAAGATGCAGGTGAGCGACACAGGCTCTTTAGAGCCTCTAGTTAGATGGTGACGTTGCCTTGCCACCATCTTATGGTGTTTATATATCTCAATTTGTACAATTTGCTTGTGTATGTAACAACGTATTTGATTTTAACGAAAGAAATCTCTGTATTACTAAAAAATTATTACACCAGGGTTTTTCGATATCACAAACTTGTCCGATGAACGTGCAGACATCTTATAAGTTCAGGTATTTCACATCCCATCTTTTATTGTTAGATTGTATACAAAGCACAAAAATGTCGTCAGTCACCTCAAAAGCTCAAGTCATTAAAGATGGCATCTTTTGGAAATAATATTGGGTCCTTGCATCTGAAAAAAATTGGAACCGGCATGTCAGTAACTGCTAGTAGTCCTTTGTTAATTTATCTTGATCATAGTCATTTTGCTCAGTTTCTTCTGTTACCTATTCTAACATCAAACTCCGACTTCATTTAAACTGGGTTTTACTGTGCGTATTACTGTTTACTTTTTACTATTTTTTACAAAAGACAAACAACAGTATACAAAACACAACATAGAAAACTAAAATTGAGCAACACAAACCACAACAAAACAAGGGTAGGATCTCCAGTGCTGCCGAAGGGTAAGCAGGTTCTGCTCCACATGTGGCACCCGTCGTGTTGCTCATGTAAATACAAACTGAGTGATAAGTCTGATTCAGACGTAGGTCACATTCAAGGAAAAGAGGACAGGGTTGTGGTTATGATAATTGGAACATATCCTTTGTCATCTGTGAAATGTCATCTGTGAAACAGATATTCAGTAATGATCAACTAACTCGTGATGATGTTTGTAAAATTTTTGAAGGGATGATTTCAACTTCACCACTTAGAACTCTTGGTAAATAGCTTCCTTGTGAGCAGCAACCCTCTATTAAGGATTTCATGATATAGGAAATGCAACCTCTTGAATATCGTATCAACTAGGAAACAAATACTCCATATGCTGGCACTGCTGGAATGTTGCTACATAGAAATGGAAAGTTCACAATTTGTAAGCTGAAACTTTAAGTGATTACCTGAAAAAGAAAGCTGTTTAAAAAATCAGGACCTGTTGATGTTTTGGGTACACATATATGGCTAAAACATGATCAAATCTGAATTTGACCTGAATGTGTTTGGTAGGCAACCTTGTAACCTGGGGTCTCACTTAAAAGGAACTGTCACTTTTACACAGGTTTATTGTCAAACATTAATTAACCTGTCAAATGAGTTTAAAATTGACCTGTTGACTTGCATGATTTTGTGACCTCATTCACAAATTTGGGTCAGTAAGAAATTTTTATTGCCTTAATTGTAATATAATTTTACAGTATCCAAATTTCTAAGTAATAATTGTTATTCGACTTTAGTGTTCATGCATTTATGAGAATGTTGATTATGGAATAGAGATGTGGGATTAATGTACACTCCAACTTTTTTTTTCCGCCGTAGAGGAAGGGGCATTAAGGTTTACCCTTGTCTGTCCATCTGTACATCCCAAAATTGGTTTCCGTTCTCTAACTTTAATTTGCCTCAACCAAATGTTATGAAACTTATACACAATGCTTATTACCACAAAACTCAGATCAAGTTCGAATTTGGGATCCCTCACTTTTACTGTGCTGGAGTTATGTCCCTTTATAATGTTATATGCAAGCTAGGGCATCATCTGTGTCCCATGGACACATTCTCCATTGATTTTTATGCCCCCCCTCCATAGGGGGGGGGGGCGTTAAGGTTTTTACCCTTGTCCGTCTGTACGTCCGTCAATCGTAGGTACGTCCCGGAAATTGGTTTTCGTTCTCTTACTTTAGTTTGCATCAACCAAATGTTATGAAACTTAAAGACAATGCTTATTACCACAAAACTCAGATCAATTTTAAATTTGGGTGTCGTTCTGGAGTTATGACTCTTTCTAACAATATATGCAAGCCGGGTCATCATCTGTGTCCCATGGACTCATTCTCCATTTATTTTACATGTTATATTAGATCCCAGATGTACACGAAACAATTAATGACAATTAATTGTTCTGGCAAAAGGGCGGTGGTGAAAAAGAAAATTGACCCTGGGTAAACCCTGGACACAATTGTTTTAAATTATTCTTCAACATCACTGTTGACTAAATCCAATGATTTTGGCACTATATTCATGCATGCAGTTGGGGCATTACTTTAACTTCTTTTTTTTTTGGTGGATAACCCATAGCAAAACATGGACTTTGCCATTTATCTGTACAGGGATATATTGAGATGAATAGTCACTGGATATGATTTTACAATTGGTCTAATGTGTGTGTATTTTGCAGTCGACTGGTTGATAAGTTAGACAATATGAAGAAGAATGCCATGGGTAATGGTTCTACACAGTGTATTTTATGTGGCGATGAGTTTGGCTTACTTGGAGCTTCTCCTACTTTCTGTGATGACTGTAAATCAGTAAGTAATTCTATGTTTGATTTTGGAATAGTGTTTTAAAATAAGCTGATTTGGATTTTCTATAAGGGTTTGCATGGATTTCATAGACATGGAGACTGCGTTTATCAGTATTTCATTGCAAAGTCTAATCAAGAGCTTAATGTTCAACCTATAGGTACAACGGCATACTTGTTTTGTCAGTATTTAACCCATTTCTCTGACGTCAGTCTATTGTTCTTACTGTTGATTATTTTTGAAGAATCCACTGACCACTGTGTTAACTTAAGATAACTTATATTATAACTTTTTACCTTTAACTTACGATCTTTTATCCTCTCAAAGAGATTTTCATCGTAAATCATTACAGTCTTCAGTCTATGCATGATACCACTATACCATGAGTGCTGACATAAATCATTATTTAAATTATACTCTTAAGGCGCTTAATTGGCAATACATGTCAATAAACTGGATTTCTGTCTCATTGATAATTAGCTTCTATAATCTATGAAATATATATTATGTCTTGGTTTGTTCATGTTCTTTTCTTCAAATTTTTTTGATTTGTTTTATTTTGGGTGTTATTTTTTAAGGGAGATTATGTTCTACATTTGAACGTTCTTGAGTATAATTATATAGCAATATCAAAATATAAAATGACAAGAGAAAAAATAAATAAAACACTTTCTTTAAAATCATAAAAAAGAGTTTAATCCAGATGTCAGGTTTGAACATTGATCGATTTTTAACATTGTTATAATGAACTGAACCTTTATCCGATTGTGGCTATTACACAATAGCTGTAACCACTATAAAATCAAAGGAATTGTATATATCAGTACAATTACTTGATAAAGTAAACATCCATATGCCCATTACACTTGTCACTTTTAACGTACAAGGACTTTCAATTTTCTTTTTCATCATAGCAAATGCTTACTTATGGTTTTATAGTTATAAAATATTATCATGCTATCAATCAATTTTTCTTTGTTTCATTATAAATGGTCCAAATATACATCACGTCAACATTGAACGGACTCTAATTTGAATAAAGTGTGATATAAAAGCCATGACCGTGAAACTACTTCTTTGACAGGAAAAAAACCCTAACAAAATCATCACCATTATATGAAAATGAAATATATAATACCTCTAAGATCAAAACAATATTTTGGTCGAGAACAAATTTACAATGAAAAAATTTCATTCCAGATACAAGGTTTGAACTCTGTACAGTTAATATCACTGTTATGACTTTCGTTACCAATGACTAAACGATCACGGCTATGAACAGCTTGGTTGAAATTTTATAAAATCAACATAATTATACATCTGTAGCAGGAGCAATTCTGCTGGGAATTCGGGAATGCGTACCACAGATAATACTAGCTTATTAAATGATTGATGATGGATGCCAAATGTAAAAACGCTAAAATGATCTAAACTTAATTTATGAAACGGAAACAGTTTAAACAAAATTAAAATATAATTGTTTAAATAAAACCTTTAGCACATAGTTTTCTTTATTTTGGAAAACAACATGAAATAGAGCTACATGAAACGGTAGGTTTAGGCAGTTGATGTAATCTTATAGATTTGGATTAGTACAGCTAATTAGTGGCCAGCCCTCTGCAGCCAACATATTAATTAATTGCTTAATACTATATATATAAATTTCAAAGGTTCTAAATTTTGGTGATTAAAATTTTTCAAAACAAGATAAATAAATTTTGTATATTAATATATGTCTTTTTAAATAAATCATAAATAGCAAAATCTATAGGTTACTTATATGTAATATAAGTATTGTTTATACAAACAATATTTCCAGCCAACTTTGACAATTAATCTTCCCAGTAATCATGCCAACATCTTGGATACTTTTAATTAAAATACACAGACCACTTGCTACATCTTGAGATTAATTTCTCTGGCATTTGACACTTTGAAGTTACACTGCAATCTCACCAGGGGACATACTAATCTATTCTTAATCAGATAAAATTGAGAACAGAAATAGGGAATATGTCAAAGAGACAACAACCCGACCAAAGAGCAGACAACAGCCGAAGGCCACTAATGGGTCTTCAACGCAGCTAGAAAATCCCGCACCCGGAGGATGTCCTCAGCTGGCCCCTAAATAAAATTGTGTACTAGTTCAGTGAAAATGGACGTCACACTAAACTCCAAAACATATAAATGAACTAAAATTAAAAAACATACAAGACTAACAAAGGCCAGAGGCTCCTGACTTGGGACAGGCGCAAAAATGCGGCGGGGTTAAACATGTTTTTTGAGATCTCAACCCTCCCCCTATACCTCTAGCCAATGTAGAATAAAGAAACATACATGTTACAATTATTCACTGTTTGTGGTGAAAGGCAGGATAATTTCAGATCTCATAAAAATAATTACACATTATAATTAGTATATTAAGTAAAGGTCAGTGATTTTAGTCTCCTCCCACTAGATGATTGATGTACCCAAATCTGTGTGTTTAGCCATATGCATGGTCTTTGTGAAATCAGTTTCTTGGTTCAAAGCAGTCAAACTTAGTTCAACTTGATAGTTTAACAGTGCTAGAATTCAATTTACTATTATTTCAACTTTAACAACTGGACTTAATCATTTTTTTTTTAATTTGAACATTGTCACAATGTGGCTGCATTACTGAACTGCTACCATACTGATTTGTAATACTTTGTACATGAACTTTGTTTTGCTTTCACCTTTGGATCTTATTAACCTATACACAGCTGAGTTTTCAATGCTTAAAAACTTGTGTAGTACATGCACACATTTTTATATTTGGATATATCTGAATTTGGATGACTTGTATAAAGCAGCATTACATTGTCAATACTTGTGGAGTTTTTAACATTGATAACTGTGTCGGAAAGTATTATGTGATAGAGCAGAATCTACATCATTAGATCCATATGTATTTGTGACCATACAGAGATTTCCATCGAGTGTTAATGCACAGGCCTTATCTTCTATACATCTGTTCTAGGCAAGTATATTTGTATTGAACTTTTATTTCTTATATATACAGATGTATTGTGCTGGGAATTTTCTTTGAAAATTATAAACTTCAGGCAAAATAGAGACAAGATTTAACTGGTTTATATAAAAAATAATCTAATATTCACTTTCTTCTATGCATATATTCAGAAAACAGCCTCATGAAATATTAAATATGGATTCATTTCATCTTCTTTATTTGAATAGAAATGTTTTATTAGTCCCCTACTGACGAAGTCGAAGGGGACTTTAGGTTTGCACTCCGTCTGTCTGTCTGTCTGTCTGTCTGTCTGTCTGTGTGGGTTTTCCTACAATACAGGGTAAAATATTTTGCCGCAGATCACCCACTTTTCTTAGTATATAAGACTTCAATATCTCATAAAAGGTTATTTACCAAATTTAAAACGATCTTAAATTTCGTTTCTTACGATTTGAGACCCAAATAATGCAATGTTTGATATAAGGTAAAAGTCTAACTAAGCCTTTTCCCACCATTTTTACAAAAATTAAATATCTTGAAAAGGAGTTCCATAACCTATCAATATTTCTTACTTATTCTAAATGGATAAACAGTTACTTTGCTTGTTTTACATATATATATATATATATATATTTATAGTTTTAACATAAGTACAGCATTTGATATTGCCTATTACTGACACCTTTCTTCTTTTCTTTTATTTGCATATCTGAACACTGAGGAAATGGAGACATATTGCACCGCCTGTATGCACATTTATAGGTTCATCAGATTTACAGTCAAAGACTTTAGACACTATCGAGTTCTTCATTTGTCCTAAGATGTGGATACAGCTGGACTTATATGTCAATGGGAAGAACAATTATTTCCAGACCTTACTATTAAACTTTACATTTATTCAACTGGAGCTCAGTCATACCTTAGACATATACACATGAACATTGGCAGTATTCTAATAATAGTATCACCAGTTGGATAATCTTTAAAAATATTTCATCTTTCATTTGTGGTTTAAAGTACAATCAGCCACGAGTCTCACAATTAACAAGTTCAGAATTTTCTCATGTGCAAACAGGATTACAACAGACATGACTACCATATTTTGATACATTTAGACATGGACCGAAGAGTATGTTCAGACTTGTTATCTGTGCAGGCATGGGGTAATGCAAATTTGTAATTGTAATGCATGGTAATGCATTACATTTTTCCAAGTAATTGCATGTAATGTGTAATGCTGCAATTTTTGCATTACATGTAATTGTAATTTAATGCATTACTTTAGAAAAAAGTTGTGTAATTTCAAGCATTACATTGCATGCCATGGCATTACTTTTTTCACATTCTATATATCTTTAACAGATTGTTGGAGATTTCAGATTTCTTGATTAACTAAGAACATAATCATTTGAATATTGATTTTCTAATTAATATTTATTTTTCACACTTTACATAAATCACTAGAGGGAATTTGGAGATTAAGCCTTGCCCCAGGTAGAACTTGAAAAAAAATGGTATAAATACTAGAATGACCAAATTACAATTCTAAATAAATAACATAACACTGTATATCAGAATGAGTTTCTTATTTTTATTTCATTTTATTTCATACATTTTCCTGTATAAAAAGATTGATATTTGAAAAGCATTACTGTAAAAGTGTTCTATTGTTCTCAAAAGATCATGATTAAAGAACAGATAATTGAACATTTTTCATAAAACACTAATTAGTTTGTTTTACAATCAATCTTTTCACCATTTTGACATTTTGGTCATAAATTAAGCTCTATGTTTATTTTATAATTAGGAAAGAAATTCTCAGTAAATATTTTGATTGAAATTAAAAAAAAAAAAATGTATATTTATAAAAGTAAAGTTAACATTAAGTTAAAATAAGTATTAAACTTCATCTCTGTAATTTCTTTTTAGAGAAAGCAGAGAGATGTATACCTTGAAACATAGAATGCGCATGAAGGATGAAACCTTTGAAACCCTTCTGATGTTAAAATGTAATAGACTTATTGAATAGACTTTTTACATGTATTCTTAAATTCAATACATGGAACAGTTACTGCATATGCTAGAATCTTTTGTGACTTCATGTTGTTTAAAAAATGTTTGATTTTTCTTTTCACTTGATAATAAAATTTACAAATGTAATGTGTAATTCAATGCATTACTTTGCAAATGTAATTGTAATTTAATGCATTACTTTGATAAATGCATGTAATTGTAATTGTAATTTAATGCATGGTTTTGTCAAAGTAATTGTAATATAATGCATTACATTGCAATGTAATTCGCCCAATGCCTGTATCTGTGTAGACATTATATCTCCAACCATTCAAACAGATCATGTAGGATATACCATTTTAGCATATTGACTACAAGCAAGGCAACACTACAGTCGTGAGCCTCATCAGTGCCGAACTAGACCAGAAGTATTTGATTCCAAACCAAATTGTAAACTATTTGGGACGTTGCTATTTCAAGCATGTTTGAATCCTTAGAATCTGACAACATACACTTTTTAAATAGACCACTTTGCATTTGAAATATGTCAAAACCAAGGAACATGCAGTTTGCCTATTACTTTTAAGATATTAATAATATAGAGATTGCCAGCTTTGATAGACCTTGGCAAATCTACTAGCACATGGGCTATCCCCATGCAGACCTAGCACACTAACAGCTACAGATGAGACACCAAGTCTCACCCCCTCATGGAGAACCCGCTCTCCACTTTCCGTAACTGGCATATTGTCGTACAGGCAGTTTCTGGCTTTCTGAATTACAATACTGAATGCATCCCCTATGATGTTCAAAATCTATATTAAATAATCCAGTGTAGCTTTCTAAATTCAAAAACTTTGACATTGAATATAATTTTTATAGCATTCTCATCATTGAATTACTGATAATCATTTTTATATTATTCTCATCAATGAATTAATTAATATCCTTTTTATAGCATTCGCATGTTTGAACTTTGAATATTAAATATCATTTTTATAATATTATCATGTTTTAAACTTTGAATATTGAATATTATTTCTTTTATAGCATCTCATTTGAATATTGAATATCATTTTATAACATTCTCAAATTACTATAGGTAATTGTTACACTATATTGTGAATAGTATATCTTGTGTATATTATCTTTTATTTTTATGCCCCCGCCGTAGCGGAGGGAGCATTAAGTTTTACCCTTGTCCGTCTGTATGTCCGTCCGTCCATCCGTACATCCCAAAGTTGTTGTCCGTTCTCTAACTTTAGTTTGCCTCAACCAAATGTTATGAAACACATACACAATGCTTATTTCCACAAAACACAGATCAAGTTCGAAATTGGGTGGCGTCACTATAACCGTTCTAGAGTTATATGCCCTTTACAAATGGAAAAATTGCTGAAGTTTCCATTCTCTAACTTTAGTTTGCCTCAACCAAATGTTATGAAACTTATACATAATGCTTATTACCACATAATACAGATCAAGTTCGATATTGGGTGGCGTCACTTTTACCGTTCTTTAGTTATGCCCCTTTATAAACATAAAAATTGCTGAATTTTTTGTTTCCGTTCTCTCACTTTAGTTTGCCTCAACCAAATGTTATGAAACTTATACACAATGCTTATTACCACATAATACAGATCAAGTTTGAAATTGGGTGGCGTCACTTTTACCGTTCTTGAGTTATGCCCCTTTATAAACATAAAAATTGCTGAATTTTTTGTTTCCGTTCTCTAACTTTAATTTGCCTCAACCAAATGTTATGAGACTTATACACAATACTTATTACCACAAACCTCAGATCAAGTACACTTTTACCGTTCTTCAGTTATGACCCTTTATATCTTTATAAGATATGCAAGCGGGGGCATCATCTGTGTCCCATGGACACATTCCCTATTTATTTATTTTTTTATTCTCATGACATTATTGAAGATATAACTATCCAAAATCCTTGGGGGCACTTATCTGTAACCATCTGAGTTTTTGGACCTTGATGGAATTTTATCACTAAAATTTCATTCATCCCCAAGCATTTCGGGGACTTTAATCAAATTTATTCCAGCGCCAGATTGATAGACCCTGCTACTTACTACTTGTAATAGCACCACATGGGCTATCCCCCATGCAGACCTTGCACACCCCGTCTGCAGATGAGACGCCTAGTCTCATCCCCTTGGTGGAGAACCCTCGCTTCACATTCCTGGCTGGCGTATTGTCGGGCAGGCAGGTTCTTCCTCACACTACAGGTTGCAATTTGACTTGCTCGGCAGGAACTCCTAAATTCTTAATTATGCTGAGTGTTTCTCAAGGGCCAAAATATTTTGTTACTGAATTTATTGTATTAATAAATATTATTCATTTGAGGATTCTGTCTGCTTATAGCCAGTATGATTTATTGAGACTATGTTTGGTTTACACACAGATACCCCCTTTCACACTTATGCTAACATTGAATTATTTGGAAATTGGTTTAGATCTACAATGCTCAATTTCGCGGATGGTGAGATTATAAAATTTTTACTTGTTATAATTTACTTTTGACCTAAATCTCACCATTGGGGACTTTGTGGATTGTGTGTGATATTGAATTTGAGTTTGGTTATCAAGAGAGTTACATCAGAAATAAGAAAACATTGGATCTATAAGGATTTGATTCATTACCATAAAAACAGAAAATTATATGCATATTTATATTGACCAAGAGACAATTACAGATAATAAAACACCACCTATAAAAACTTCAAAGTATGTTTACATTATGGGACACCAAATAACACAGCACAAAACATAATTACACCATACACAACTACAAAGACAATTTTGTTTGTATAAATTCAATTTAAATAATTTGTAATGATTAAACTATTATAGAACAAATAAGACAAAATATGAAATTATGTTTATGAAATTCCGTTGATTTATTATCAAAACATAAAACAGACAGTCGTTTTACTAGAAATGGGTTAAGCTAGAGAATTTATAAGAAGTAGTGGATTCAGAAACGATAATCAACTTGCGATTAATGTCGCTCTTTGATTATCGTTTACGAATCCACTACTTCTTATAAATTCTCTAATACATAACTGTCTAAGACATACAATGTCAGTATATAGCCGTCTTAAAAATGCTATTAAGCCTGACTTTATTTTCATGCTCAGGTAGTCTGTTTTAATTATTGAATGTTGCTTAGTAATAATGCATATCATTTGTATTCCCCAGTAACTAGGCATGGGAGGTAAAAAAAATCCATGGCACACAAATTCGTTTTAAATGATTTATGTATTCAATTGATGCAAGGATTAATTTAACCAATGCCAAATTTATTGATAGCAGTCAGATACATGTACTGCAAATTCTAACATGACGTTCTTCAAACGCTTTGAGTACACACCCGTGGTAAAATATGAATATATATTGTTTGGGCTGTTCCGATCGTACTCCCGCGTCATATGCTTTTTTATGAATGAGCTACCCGACGTCATAGAACGATGACGTAAGAATTTAAGCATTTTACTGGAAAATACACGCTTGTGAAACTGAAAATCATCACAACAAGGAAACGTAAACAAACGATGCTAAAATGAGTTATATAAGCCATTTTTTGTTTCCATATAAGATATATAAATACAATTATCATTTAGATTCATTCAAACCTATCTAAATATGTCATTGTAAATAGTTTAAGCATGCCATTTATTCAGTTTGCTCCGTTCTTTTACGTCAATTTAATAGTGCGTTTATTTATGGGAACGGCAAATAATGCCTTCACCTAGAGCGCTTCGATCCAAAAGAATTGCTGTATTTGTCCTATTAGAATCGAAATAATTCATGGGGCTTGAATATATCGTGATTTTACCACAGGTTGTCCCTTTATGCCGATATTTTACCCCTTGCTATTGCTCAGGGTAAAATATTTGTCATAAAGGGCCAACCCGTGGTAAAATCATGATATATTCAAGCCCCCATGAATTATTTCTTAAATAATGCATAGTGCATCATACATGTCATAAGCCTATTTGGCTTGCTGATTATTTTGTATTACACAATGTATAAAACATGTATTGATTTGTTTAGTCAGGTTGCACTATAATAAGTTCTTCTTCTTCTTTATAGAAAGGATAACAGGAGTCATGAGTCACCAAACATATTGGATATTTCAACAGATTCTAACAAAATCAATGAAAATCAGACTCACCAAAAAATGATAACAAAACAAATACCAACAACAAATGGTCCAGATAGCCTTACTTTGTACATTGGAAAACATGTGTTGGGGTTAAACCAGTTTAATGTGTGCACAATTAAACAGTTTATTTCCATTTCAGGCTGTGTGTGTAAAATGTGGCATAGATACATACAACAGTAATAAACAACCACTGTGGCTCTGCAAGATTTGTAGTGAGAACAGAGAGGTATGTAGAGTAAAGAAATCTTTTAGAAACTTGACCTCCTGGTTCTGTTACTAAGTTTACCAAATGAAGTTTTGAGACTTATTGGTTTTTAGCTCACCTAGCTGGCCCATAGGTTCAGTGTGAGATTTTGCCATCTCTTGGCTACCTCTGTCATCGTTTCTTAACTTTTACATGAAATCTTATCTTCTGAAACTAATGGAACAAATTGACCTTAACTCACCCATCTAGTTTTAAAAATGTGTCCAGTGATCCTGCAGGCTAACCAACATGGCCACCAAGGCTACAAAAAGAACATAGGGGTAAAACACAAGTGTTGTCAAATATTTTGAAAACTGTTATAGATAGACAAAATCTGACGGGTATGGAATACCACAGCTGTCTTATAAGGTGCTCTGATATTACGACATGATATGGTTTTATCATTACTGGATGATATATTGTCATTACATGGTGTGGTTTTAACATTACGTAATGAGGTCTTGAAATTACTCAATATGGTATCGTCATTGCTTAATGTTTTGAAATTAGCCCTGGTACTCAATATGGTATCGACATTACTTATTTGTTATTACTTAATATGATTTCACCATTACTTAATGTGGTTGTGTCATGATACAATGTGGTTTTGACATTACTCAATATATGTGTGGTTTTGGGTAATGTAGTTGTTTCATTACATGATGTGGTTTTGTTATTTTGTGATGATTTGTCAATTCATAATATGCCTTTGTCTAACTTTAATTCATAAGACTTTATCACTTTTTAATGTTGTATAGATGTTACTCGAGGTGGTTTTAACATTAATCTATGTGGGTTTCACATTTTGAAAAGCTTTAACATAACATGAAGTTGTTACAAACTTTCACAATTTTACACTAAATAATGTGTTTGTTATATATTTTTATGTGGTTTTGTCATTCTTTGATGTGGTTATCCCATTACTTGATGAGGTAAAACCACATGACCATTTTGGAAATTTGTTTTTTTTAATCTGATTTCCTTGTCTGTTTTTGTACATTTGTACCTTTGCTGAGTGTGGGTATCCATCTAGTTTGAGTATGCTTCAAGTTCCAGTAAGAGTTCAAACCAAAGTTAGAGTTGAATTTTGAGTTCTGTTTTGAGTTAACGTTTGATATCAAGTCAGAGTTCAAGTTGAACTTCGGCTAATTTTATATGAGTTCATATAATATAAATTTTCAATGGCAGATCCAGGACTTTCAAAAAGGGTGCGGAGGTGCCTGCATCAATAATTGGGGACCGGCAGTCAAGAATGAAAAAAATTATTAAAAATAACTATATATATTTCGGACATATGGGGAATACCATGCTCTCCTTAGTCTGCCCACTATTTTTTTTCATAACTCTCAAATTGTAGCAGTATTTTTGTAAAAAAATCAAACAATTGTACTTTATAGTGATTCTAAATAACTTTGATACTTTTAATCAAATCACCTTTGAAATAATCATCAGGGTATAATTTTCAGAGGGATTTCTGATGAAGGGACAGAACAGCAATTTATTATAATACAAATTCTCCAATTTTCTCAGCATGTATTTGAGTATATACTAATTATACCCCACGCACCTGAAAAAATGTCACAAAGAATGCAAGTACATTGTATCAATCAAGGAAATAACTCCTGAAAGTGAAAATCTATATCCAATTTTTCCAACATTTTGTCTTAAGTAACTACAAATTAAAATTTAAAAAGCATTGGTTGAATGGTTCTTAATATATTGCACCAATATAAAAATAAGGAGATGAGGTATGATTGCCAACGAGACAACTATCCACCAAAGTTCAATTAAAGTGGATGTAAGCAACTATAGGCAACCGTACAGCCTTCAACAATGAGAAAAACCCATACCGTATAGTCGGCTATAAAAGGTCCCGACATGAAAAATATGAAACAATTCAATTGAGAAAACTAACGGCCTAACTTATAACAAAACAATGAATGAAAAACAAATATGACAGACATGAACCAACACAACCACTGAACAACAGGCTCCTGACTTGGGACAGGCACATAAAAGAATGTGGTAGGGTTAAACATGTTTGTAAGTGCTCAAACCTCCCCCTAACCTGGAACAGTGGTGTAACAGCACAACTTAAGAACAAACTATAAAAATCAGTTGAAAGCCATTTCCCAGTCTATCAAGGCCATAACGGCAAAAGTGAAAATCGTCAATATTGAACTTGACGTTAATTTTGTCACCAATGATAAAATATTAAGATTTGAAAAGCATTGGTTGAATGGTTCATAATAAATGGCACAGAAACATTTGGCCCTAATGCTGTATTTCACCATTTTAATTCAGGGATCTCCATGACCTGTTTTATGATGGCATTAAAATATCTTCTGCCATCGTCAAATGATCCCCGCCATCGTTGAATTATCTTCCTCCATCGTTAAATGATTGTTTTCGTTTTGCTAGCCGCCGCCATTTTTGTTGGCAATTATGATCAATTATTGCATGTAATTGCATAACCATTATTGAATAATAATCCAAAGGGTCCTCCTGATTACAGTTTTAAAGCCCTGAGGGATATCCGGTTAAAAATCGCTAATCACTTGTACAGGTAGATCAACACACCTGACAGGAGAACACTTGATCAAGATAGACTATTGATTGCATTATTTAATTAGGTTTCAGCAAATGCTAATGAAAATTTAGATTAAAAAATACTTTTTAAATCCAGTTACAAAGGAAAAAATGGAATGCGTGCTTTTATATTGACTTACACAATCAGCATCCCCCTTAAATTTTTAAACGAGTACAAAGTAAGACGTAAAACAGAACATATTTTCATGCCAAATAACACGAGTACAGCAATTATAATATTTAATCACTTTACAAGTTTAAAAGTTAATACATGAATAATAACTGCAACATGATAATCTGAAGAAATTTCGTATCGTAATTTCGAATTCATTCCGTAGTTTACAATCAAGTTAATACATTCAGAATCGGAAGATGCATGTTCCATAGTCTATTACTATGCAAATTTAAAGTCATTAAAACCATTTAAGTTGTAAACGTTTGCCCTCCAAATCTTTCCTTAACGTTTTACCATACAGGTACGAAACTTCTTGTTATTGATGCTGCAAATCGTCAATACCATTTCATGACTTCTGAATTTTACAGTGAAAAGAAAGATCCCCTGATTTTTAAGTCCTAAATAATTGCCAAGAGAGCAAGAACACGACTTGGGGAACCTTAAGTTCAGCTTGTGGTCATTCTTGACTAAGGGGAGCCATGCAGGCTTGACATTGGAATTGTTACAAATGACAATTAATTATAATATTGGTTATTCTATAATGAAATTGATATGATAAGCAAACGAAACAAAACAATTAAAGATGGACACACAATTGACAAAAAGGGAACTTTTGCGACAATCATCTGCTATTTATGATCCGTTAGGACTGCTCGTACCGATCACCATTCTATCAAAAATACTTATTCAAGAACTTTGGAAAAAAAGATATGCGTGCGACGGAACACTACTGAAAGAAATTGAAAACGCATGGACCAGTGTGAAGAATATTTTACAGATAACTTCAAAACTGAAATTACAGAGATACTATTTTTCAAACCATGACGAGGAAACAAGCGACTCTACTCTGCATATTTTGTTGATGCAAATCAGAAAGCATATGGAGCTTCCATTTACTTGAGTAAAGGCACAGATTAAACAATAGACCTGACAGGATTCAGAGTTTTAGATTTTAACGAGAGAAATTTATGTATTACATACTGAAAAATTATTACACCAGGGTTTTCAATATCACAAACTAGTCAAAACATTTACTAAATTTTATCATCGGTATAAGGACATCATTCGTAAATATAGCTCAACATGCAGACTTCTTATACGTTCAGGTATTTCACATCCAATTTTTTATGGAAATATTCTTTATAAAGCACAAAAATGTCAGTATTCACCTCTGAAGCTAACAAAACCTCTAAATAGACTTATTAAGAAGGGATATAGTTACGATACTGTTGTCTGGTCATTAAAGATTGCATATTTTGGCGTTAATATTGATTCACTTATAGGGTCTTTGCATCGGCACTAAACACATTTATTTAAAAACCAGTTGTTGGCATGACACGGGTTATGTTCTTCTCATATATGTTATGATGGTATGATACTAAACCCCTAACGGGAAGGATTGTGCCTGATATTCATATGATGAAGACATAATCTTTCAATCAGTTTAATTGAAGTCTGGAGCTGGCATGTCAGTTAACTGCTAGTAGTCTGTTGTTATTTATGTATTATTGTCATTTTGTTTATTTTCTTTGGTTACATCTTCTGACATCAGACTCGGACTTCTCTTGAACTGAATTTTAATGTGCGTATTGTTATGCGTTTACTTTTCTACATTGGCTACAGGTATAGGGGGAGGGTTGAGATCTCATAAACATGATTAACCCCGCTGCATTTTTGCGCCTGTCCCAAGTCAGGAGCCTCTAGCCTTTGTTAGTCTTGTATTATTTTTAATTTTAGTTTCTTGTGTACAATTTGGAGTTTAGTATGGCGTTCATTATCACTGAACTAGTATATATATTTGTTTAGGGGCCAGCTGAAGGACGCCTCCGGGTGCGGGAGTTTCTCGCTGCATTGAAGACCTGTTGGTGACCTTCTGCTGTTGTCTGTTCTATGGTCGGGTTGTTGTCTCTTTGACACATTCCCCATTTCCATTCTCAATTTTAATAGTTATAGCAAAGAACTGTGTCCCACCGTTGAAAGTAATAACTTTACCGAAATTATAATTAATGGCTGCAGTGATAGGAGCACAACTCGCAAAAGATGTAATAAAAAAGATAAAAAGAGCAGTATTTTGGATTAAAAGTCAAATAGTTCTACGTTGTCTTACCTCATCCAAACCATTAAATAATTTTGTAAAAAATCGTGTGAGTGAAATTAAAGATATTACTGAATCTCACGAATGGAAATATGTACCTACAGAAGTAAACCCAGCTGACCTATACATACACGTGGAATAACTGCATCGCAAGTTGAGGATTCAACATTATAGATGAATGGACCACAGTGGATGAAGGATGAGCATAAATGGCCCACTTGAACCGTACATGTGGAAATTAGCACTCAGCTAACAAATATCACAGGAACAGAGACAAATAGAGTTGATGATAAAAACCCAAGTGATCCACAGGGAATATCACAGATCATAGATATGACCAGGTATTCTAATTGACATAAACTTTTGACAGTGACTGGATATGTCTTAAAATTCATAAATAACTGTAAGAAAAAACAACCATATAGACTTTGGAGTACACAAGGTAATAGAAATCTCAAGACACTACACACAAAAGAGGAAATTGCATTAGCTATACCACCACTACTACCAAAGGATCGAGTAAAAGATACCATACCATTTTGTACAACCGGGAAAGATTTTGCCGGACCTCTACACATCAAGGATACATCAACACAACAGAGGAAGGTATACATATGTTTATTCACATGTGTATGTATATGAGCTATAAATTTGGAACTTGTACCTGATTTGTCATTGAACACTGTTATTTTAGTATTTAGACAATTTATCAGTCAAAAAGGAACACCACAAACTGTTAATTCCGATAACGCACCTTCATTTGTAGCCGCATCAAATGAATTACAAAGTCAGATGAGTTTGCACATCAACTGGAAATTCATTCCAAAGGGAACGTCTTGGTATGGCGGTTGGTAGGAACGTTTAATTGGCTTGACGCAAATGACATTAAAAAATGTTTTTGGTAGAGTGCTTGTCAGCGAACAATCATTGAGAACAATACTAACGGAGACTGAAACTATTATAAACAATCGTCCACTTACATATATCTTCAGACATAAGAGATCCTGAACCATTGACACAAAAGCATTATTTCGACGACAGACATGTACAACGACATACACAACGTGAATATTCAAGAACTTGATACAATCACTGCAAACTAACTATTTGAGAGAAAAAGACTTTTATTAGACCACTTTTCAAAATGTTGGTCTAACGAATACCTAACATGACTACGTGAATATCATCGAGCCTCCAGAAAACATAATGGACAAGTTAACATTGGTAATGTAGTTCAACTAGAAAGTGAATCACATCCACTTTTATGTAGATTAGGAATAATAGAAGACATTATCAAAGGAGGTGATGGACTTATTCATGCAGCAAAAGTACGGACATCTAGAGGACTAGTTACCACACGACCAATTGTGAAGTTATATCCCTTAGAACTTTAGTTACTGGTGAATAAAGGACTGTTAAGTGAATTTTGTGAGGGACAGTTAACGTAATGTGAAATTTTACAAAAACTTTCAATGTGATCTATTTATAGAACCTTAATTGTTTTGATTATTTATAATTTTAAAATAAGTTAATTTCTTTTGCATTTTGAGAGGCCCCCTGAATGTTGTGAATATAGGTCAGGAGACTTTAGAACATAATATCATGTAATTGTTTCATGGTCTTTGGAGCACACTATTGTAATGTAACGTAACCCTATAATGTTACGTATCTATGAATCTATAGAATCATAAAGCATCTCAACAAGCAAGACGTTATTTGCTTTACACAAGTTTTAACAAGTTATTTTTTATAACCCTCAGGATACCTAGCTTTATATAGGATGTTAGGTAACCTTTTTGAGAAGGGGTCATCTCAAGGTGTACAATGAACACAGGCATTTATAAAATATTTATGTAATTTACATTTCAGATACTGTATAAAAAATATTTTCATTTGTATTTTAAAAGACAAATGTGTATATATATATTAGTTTCAAAGCATCATTTAATGTACTTTTAGGCCTGTTGTCTGATTGGTTGTCAGGGGGAATTTTGGAAAGTAAAAAAACTCTTAAAAAAATTCCAATTAAACATTGAAGGGCAGACTAAAACTTATATTAGAGGTTGAAGACTAATTACTCTAGATAAAAAACACAAAAAATTATTGTTTTTATTTTTTTAAGTTATGCATTTTTAAGATCCACTTTTTAAAGTCTGTCGTCAAGGGCTAGACACATCTAGTATTTATCTGTTAGACACCTACTTCATGCTTTCAGATACTTTGAATTGCAATTTGGGGTATACTAATAGCACAATAAGACATGCATTCTTGTTACATTAGTTGTAAAGATAGAAAGTGATTTCCCAGTCAAATAAAAACTAACATATAGAGAATTGAACACTCAAATTGAAAATATGGATATTTATGCCCCCACCGTAGTGGAGGGGGCATTAAGTTTTACCCTTGTCTGTCTGTACATCCGTACGTCCGTACATCTGTACGTCTGTACATCCCAAATTGGTTTCCGTCCTCTAACTTAACTATATATATAGAGACAAAACCACGAAATTTTAACCCCACGAAAATTAATGTTTCTACAGTATATTACTGGTTTATATCATCAATGTCTCAGACAAATTTAAAAATTAGTGCCGATCAATTATTTTTAAAAGAGTTATGCCCCTTGAAAATATTAATTAATGGGTCTTTATAAATGTTAAGTTTAACTTTATGATATACTTGTAATAAAACCATCTTTGAGACTTTCAACATAAAATCAATGGTCAGTAGTACACTGGCGAGACATTTCAGAGTATGCACTCTTGTTAACTAATTTTTAGAGGATTTGCCTCTAATCTTGAAAAATATGATAAATAGGTAGAAACTGTTAACAGCAAAAATGATAGGTATACAAGATCTATTAAATGCCAACATGACAGAAACCATTGGGTGACTCCTAATTAAAGTTTTGTTTTACTAACTTGTGAGTTTTGCCTATTATTTCAATTTTTGACAGGTGAGTGATTCATGCTCTTGGGAGCCTCATGTTTCTATTCTTTAAGCATTTACAAATGCACATTTAGTTGATGTTTATGTCCGGCAAGCTTTAAGAAAGCTAATTATGCCCCCGCCGTAGCGGAGTGGGCATTAAGTTTTACCCTTGTCCGTCTATACGTACGTCCCAAAATTGGTTTCCGTTCTCTAACTTGAGTTTGCCTCAACCAAATGTTATGAAACTTATACACAATGCTTATTACCACAAAACACAGATCAAGTTTGAATTTTGGTGGCGTCACTTTAACCGTTCTAGAGTTATGCCCTTTAATAAATGGAAAAATTGCAAAATTTTTAGTTTCCGTTCTCTTACTTGAGTTTGACTCAACCAAATGTTATGAAACTTATACACAATGCTTATTACCACAAAACACAGATCAAGTTTGAATTTTGGTGGAGTCACTTTAATCGTTCTAGAGTTATGCCCCTTTATAAATGGAAAAATTGCAAAATTTTTAGTTTCCGTTCTCTAACTTAAGTTTGCCTCAACCAAATGTTATGAAACTTATACACAATGCTTATTACCACAAAACACAGATCAAGTTTGAATTTTGGTGGCGTCACTTTAACCGTTCTAGAGTTATGCCCTTTATAAATGGAAAAATTGTAAAAATTTTATTTTCTTCTAAATACATGTATCAAGTTATTTTTAAAATTGGAGTTATCTTCCTTTGTCCGTGATTATAGTTGAATCAACTAAAATCAATGCTTTATACAATGCAATATTTAATTTTGACCTCCACTGATAAAACACAGATGAAGTTGAATTTGGGTAGTATCACTTTAACCATTATTGAGGTATGCCCCTTTATAAATCGAAAGATTGCAAAGTTTTTAGTTTCCATTCTGTAACTTAAGTTTGCTCCAACCAAACATTATGAAACCTATACACAATATTCATTACCACAAAACTAAGATCAAGTACAAATTTTTTGTTTCCGTTTTCTAACTTTAGTTTGCCTCAACCAAATGTTATGAAACTTATACACAATGCTTATTACTACATAATACAGATTAAGTACGAAATTTGGTGGCGACACTTTTACCATTCTTGAGTTATGTCCCTTTATAAACATAAAAATTGCTGAATTTTTTAGTTTGTCTCAACCAAATGTTATAAAACTTATACACAACCATTCTAGAGTTATGCGTGTTTACAAATAGAAAAATTGCTGAATTTTTAGTTTCTGTTCTCTACTTAAGTTAGCCTCAACCAAATGTTATGAGACTTACACACAATGCTTATTACCACAAAACTCAGATCAAGTTCAAATTTGGGTAGCGTCACTTTTACCGTTCTTCAGTTGTGTCCCTTTATAACTATATGATATGCAAACGGGGGCATCATCTGTGTCCACATGTGGACACTATCCACATTTAGTTTTGTTCAATCTTTTATATATATATATATAATTCTTTCTTAATGATTTCAGGTGTGGAAAAGATCTGGAGCATGGTTTTTTAAGGGTATACCAAAATATATCCTTCCAGAGAAAAAGACAGGACCCTCTAAATATACAGTTAGTAGATTGGGACAAGAGACCAGAGGGTCTGTGAAAAGTAGACCTGGATCAACTAGACAGTACAATACTTGGAGTACAGGCAGACCAAGCCAGGGTAAACAAACTATTATTTGATTTTTTTTTATTTGATATACATAAAGTGTATGTGTGTTGTCATGGTCATCTATAGATTTTGCTCACAAAGTCGATAGGACCATGATAGCTATTTTCATTACTTTGTTTCCGTCTTCTGTCTGTCATTAGACAATTTATGGGTTATGACCTCTTCTCTTAAACCACCAGGTAGCCTTAACAGTTATGGCAAAGGGGGAATAAATCTGTGCTTTATTTGTTACCATTGAGTGACAAATTTTGGATTGTTATGCTTTCTCAGCACTAGTTGGTGAATCACTGTCTGAGTACAAACATAAAGTTGTGACAAGGATTAATTAAATTGAAATAGTACCGGTAATGTTTAAAGGCAATGTTTATGTATATTAGTACACAGTGATAAAATTCACCTTTCAAACTGGCATGCTTTTTCCAGAAACTTTTTTTTTTAAATTCTAATTTTTATACACACTCAAAGTATTGCCTACACTTAACTGTTCAGGAAAATGTGAAAACACAGGAAGTTTCTTAAATTTTTCGTTTTGTATTTTTCATTTGAGAGATTTTTATTCTCTGAAAACAATGTTTTCCTATATGAGGGTGTGGATGGGGTTTACAGAATAGAGAATAATGGACAAAAAAAAATAGAGAAAAATGGACAAAACAAATAAAGAATAGAGAATACTGGGGTGCTAAAATATAAAGAATAACTGCAAAAATTAAAGAATTGGGTAAAAATATACTGATTACAGAAAAGAACAATGTCCAGAATATAGTTATCAAGTAATTACAGAATAGCCATTATTTTTAAAGATAAAGAATAATGAGCGAAAAAATTAAAGAATACAGAAATCAAGGACCCCCCATCCTATATGATTACCTCGCCTACACCATGGATTTAAATATTTCAGGACCAAAAATTCATTGAGACTAAAGGTGTGTGTTCAGGAAGAGCTAAAATTGGCTTTAGACATTTATGTTTTTTTTTAATCAAGCCAAATTACTACAAATTTCACATGGAAATAATTGTGATATTACTATAATTACAAACTAAATTCTTTTTGGCACCCTACATTATAAATTATGAAGCTATGACCCCTTAATTGTGTTTTATTTGTATTGTAAGGTAAATTTTTGTCTCAATTTTTGTCTCGCCTGTGACGAAAGTGGCAGTATGCGAGACATAGGCATTACTGTACGGTGGCGTAAACTATTTGTATAAAGCTTTATATTTCAGAAGGTAGAAGACCTGGATGCTTCATATCTTGTATGCAGATACCTTATGTTACTAAGTTTCCGTCTGTCATATGTTCTATGTCCTTCACCTCATTTTCATGGTTCAGCTACTGCTTGAAAAAAAAATTGATTTTTTTTTTGTCATGTGAATTTCTCACTTATCATGAGTAATAGGATAACCATATTTGGTAGACAGTGTTCACCTGACCTCGACCTCATTTCATGAATCAATGATCAAGGTTAAAGTTACATGATTAGGTCCATTTCTCAAATACTATACTCAATAGGTCAACTATATGTGGTGAATGGAATGATTGTAAGGTGTACATGTTTGTCTGGCAGGTATCATCTGACCTTGACCTCATTTTCATGGTTCATTGGTCAATGTTAAGTTTTTGTGTTTTGGTCTGTTTTTCATGTACTATAAGCAATATGTCAACTATTTGGTGTATGGAATGACTAATGGGTACATGTCAGTCTGGCAGGTTTCATCTGAATTTGACCTCTTTTTCATGGTTCATTGGTCAATGTTAAGTTTTTGCGGTTTGGTCTGTTTTTCAAGTACTTTAAGCAATAGGTCAACTATATTTGGTGTATGGAATGATTGTAAGGTGTACATGTCTGTCTGGCAGGTATCATTTGAACTGACCTCATTTTCATGGTTCATTGGTCAATGTTAAGTTTTTGTGTTTTGGTCTGTTTTTCAAGTACTATAAGCAATAGGTCAACTATATTTGGTATATGGAATGATTGTAAGGTGTATATATATGTCTGTCAGGCAGATATCATCTGACCTTGACCTCATTTTCATGGTTCATTGGTCAATGTTAAGTTTATTTTGTTTTGGTCTGTTTTTCAATTATTATAAGCAATAGGTCAACTTTATTTTGTGTATAAAAAAATTGTAAGGTGTATATGTCTGTCTGACAGCATTTATCTGACCTGAGTTTCTGTGATGCTTTTAGTTAAACCTTTATCTTTAAGACTTTCAACATAAAATCAATGGTCAGTAATATCTCATCCCTAAGAAGAATAACAGATTTATCCTTGTGACCAGTAAGAGACCAAAGTACTCCAATCACCTCATTATCATTAAATGTCATCTAATTAAGAATTTTTTATTTCTTTATTGCATGTTTTTGAAATATAGCCATAGATATTAATAAAAAGTTCAAATGGAAAGTAGAAAAATACCAAAATGAGAGCCAAAATGATGCATAAATTCAATGATTTATTATCTTATGCAGTGGTCTCGTTAGCCCAAAATAGAAGGGTGTCGCGCCCGTGGTGCCCTCAGCCGCGCCCTGGGTGCCTTCATCCGCGCCCTTCTGCCCTGACGCCTTTTTCCCAATAACCCTTGTGCCTTTTCGGTAAAATTGCCTTTTGTTTCATCGATTTCTTATCACAAAGTTAAATTACATATATGACACCAGGTGATTGCCCCAAAGTTAATCATGTCATTACAATCAATTACAGTGGATAAGACTTCAAAGGTGTTAATAACTAGGTAATTTAATGTACCTTTTTGTCATAAATTTGATGAATGTGTCAGCGAGTGTTTTTAGCTTGGGTCGGCATTTTCGATCTCCAAGAAGAGTGTAAAAAATGAAGACTTTCATGACTTTAGAATAGAATTAAAGTCATCAAAATACAACTATGCCTTCACAGAAACGCCGTCCATCTCAACTTGTGAGCGACAAGCAAACAGTAAATGTGTTAGAAATAAATTTTGGAGTTACTTCCCCTGTTTTAGCTTATTACAAATTTGTGCTCCTAAAATATTATCTAGCATTAAAAATAGGAATAAATTACCAATTGAATACAAAATTATATAAGAATGTTACCTTAAGGATATTAACTGTCTTTGAACATATCAAAAAAAATATATTGCAATTTATTTTTGATAATAATACTTTTAGCAATCCATGTTCTATACATTGTCAATTAAGAAATTTATAAGTTCTATTATTATGATGATGGTAAGCTGCAATCCTACATAAATTTGTAGTGTTTAATAAAGATAAAAAAAAACATAAATGGGTAGTGTGAAGTTAAACTATCATGACATCAACTTGATGAAGCTTTACTAAATAATTCCTTAACACAAACAATGAAAAAAAGTTTTGAGGGCCAAACTCTAACTGAAAATTTAGAAATAATAAGACAACTCTGTCACATGTATGCTAAACTATGAGATGTTTAGTTTATATTGGGTTTTTTTGGAAAAAGGGGGGGGGGAATAGTAAGTTAATTTGCCTCTATTGGTTTATAGTGATGTGATGTATGAATGTGTATTGACATGTTTTATGAACATGTCTTATGAATTACATTTTCTAATGCAAATTTTATAGAATAAATAATCAAAACAACAACTTATGCATCTTTATTAACAACATATGCAGTAAAAAAAAGAATGTGAACTCGTGATACACACAGAAACATAGACAAAAAAAATGAGCAGTGCCTTTTCCTTTCATAAAAAAGTGCCCTGCCCTCCACTGGCACCCTGCCCCTTTTGATTTCTAGCTGGAGCACTGTTATGGCTATTAAAACAAAATAGATCTGATTAATATTACTATGTTTTAGCATTGATGGTAGCAAATATGGTATATACTTTACCTTTATCATGTTTGTTGTTCATGTATTATTGGGTTTAGGGGCAAATAACATAAGGGACTGAAACTACTGACCTAATCTTTGTAATTGTATAATTGTCCCACACAAGTTAGTGACACTTATGTACAATTTATTTTTATTTTTCAGCAAATAATGGGGAGAGCAGTGAGCAGGAGTCCACAAGTGAATCAGAGGATGAGATCAGTATTGGTAAAAAGAAAACAGGAAAGATGAGGGATTCAGGTACAAACTCTAAAATTGTAACATTACTGAATTTGGCAAGATAGGAAAATCTCAAACAAGTTATAAGTTTGATTTACTTGTGTCTCATCCCTTCTGCATATTTAAGCAAATAAAATATGTTTAAACTAATCAGTTTGATGACTATTTTGAGGCCCTGCCCCCTAGGACATGGTCCTGTGACTTTGAATTAATTAGCAATTTTCAATGTTAATTTTTCTGCTTCAGTCAGTTTAATAAGAACTACTTTTGATAGATCAATGATATTTTCTGTAAAGTTGCATTACTATCAGTATATATCAGTTTGACGACTATTTTGAGGTCCTGTCTCCTAGGACATGGTCCAGTGACTTTGAATTAATTAGCAATTTTCAATGTTAAGTTTTCTGCTTAAGTTAGATTGATAGGAACTACTTACAATCGACAACAATATTTTCTATAAAGTTACATTACTGTCTGTACATCTCAGTTTGTCAAACATTTTCAGGGTCTGCCCACTAGATCATGGTCCAGGGACTAAATTAATAAGCAATGTTGCTGTCAATCAGATTGTCTTTTCCTGAATTTTATGCCAACAGGTGAGACATATCTCTGTGTCAACAGTTTATTTGACTATCTTCTGGCATTTATAATTAGGCAATTCAGAAATAACCCATAAAATTGTTAAAACCTAAAATTACACACACTGGACTGTGATACTGTGGAAATATTAAAAGATTTAAAGACTTTTTAAAAATAGCCTTGATGTGAAACAAATTTCTTCATATTTGTAAAAAAAAAAAAAACCTGGAAAATGAAAGAAACTTTACATTGGTGAGTTCCTTACTTGTAAATGCATGGTATAAATGAAGTGAAGTGTGTTTAAAAGCTTTCTATTCTAGATTTAAGCGATTAATTAGCTCAAGATTTCCTTTATTATTATTTTAAACTGAAATTATTGAAATTGAAATTTACACTTTTATATACGACCGCAAATCTATTTGCGTAGTATAATGTTATGGTGTTGTCTGCATCTGCGTCTGAAGACATTTTGGTTCGCAGACAATAACTTGAGTATAAATTCATGGATCTCTATGAAATTTTAGCACAATGTTCCATACCACTAAAGGATGGTTGGGATTGTTTTTGGGGGCTGTTGTCCTTGCGGTTTTGTAATTAGGGGCCAAAAAAGGTCAGTCTTACTGGTTCATGGAAAATTAATTGGTTTGCAGAAATTAACTTTAGTGTAAGTGTATGGATGCCTAAGAAATTTTAGTACAAGGTTTCATACCACAATAGGAGGGTTGGGATTGTTATTGGGGTTATTGTCTTAGCTGTTTTGTAATTAGGGGCCAGAAAGGGGCCAAAAACAATTATTTGTCTGGTTTTAAGACAATAACTTGAGTATAAGAGATATTTCTTTGGTCAAAATTTTAACACAAGGTTCCACACCACAATAGGAAGGTTGGGATTAATTTTGGGGGTTATTGTCATAGCTGTTTAGGAATTAGGGGCCAAAAAGGGTCTAACAAAACAATTTTTTGTTAGGTTCTCAGACAATAACTTGAGTATAAGTGTATGGATCTCTATTAAATATTAGCACAAGGTTCCATACCACAATAGGAAGGTTGGGATTTATTTTGGGGGTTATTGTCGTAGCTGTTTAGGAATTAGGGGCCAAAAACAAGCATTTTTCATGTTTCAGGACAATAATTGGTGTATAAGAGTATAAATCTCTATGAAATTTTACCACAAGATTCCATACTTCAAAAGGAAAGTTTAGAATGATTTTTGGAGGGTCATTGCCCATACTGTTTAATAATTAGGGGTCTAAAAGGGGACGAAAACAACTATTTTTCTGGTTTGCAGGCAATAACTTGAGTATAAGTGTATGGATTTCTATTCAATTTTAGCACAAGGTTCCATACCACAATAGGAAGGTTGGGTTTTATTTTTGGGGTTATTATAGTAGCTGTTTAGGAATTAGGGGCCAAAAAGGGCCTAACAAAAACAACTATATGTCTGATTCACAGACAATAACTTGAGTATAACTTTATAGATCTCTATTAAATTTAAGCACAAGGTTCCATACCACAAAAAGAAGATTGGGATTTATTTTGGGGGTAATTGTTGTAGCTGTTTAGTAATTAAGGGCCAAAAAGGGGACAAAAACAAGCATTTTTCATGTTTCAGGACACTAATTTGTGTATTAGAGTATGGATTTTTTTGAAATTTTACTACAAGGTTCCATACTTCAAAATGAAAGTTGGGATTGATTTTAGGGGTCATGGTCCAAACCGTTTAATAATTAGGGGCTAAAAAGGGGCCAAAAACTAGGATTTTCTGATTTCTGGACAATAACTTGAGTATAAGTCTATTTATTGCTGTTTTATTGCGCCACAAGGTGTTATACCATAAATTAAAGTTTGGGATTGATTTTAGGGGTTATGACCCTATTGGTTTAGTTAAAAGGGGCCAAAACCAATACTTTGTATAAATTGCTTATTTCTTTAGCAATTTCAATGGGGTTTAATTCAAAAGTCTTGAATTCTTGGGAGTCTTTAATAGGCTGAATCTACACTTCTGCATAGTCACCCATTAAATGGCCATTAAATGCTACCATTAAATTAACATTAAAATTACATTAAAAAAACCATTAAAAACCTGTTAAAGGTACTAGTACAAAATTAAGACCCAAAAATCTGTTTTCTTTATGTTAAAAACCATTAAACTACATGTGGCCTTGAATTTTGACTGTATTAAACCCATTAAATATACATTTAAGAGTCATCAATAAGGACAAAATAAAAGCTGTTAAATTCTCTTTAATGGGTATTATTTTGACATAATAAACCCCATTAAAATGTATTTCATGGCCATTATATTGTAGGTTTCAACCCATGAAATTTACAACCAAAATTTAATGCCCATTAAAACAGTTCTATTTAACACCCATTAAGCAACAGTAGGTTAATGGTCATTTAAAAAAAAATAATGGCAAATTAAAACTTAATAGTCATTAAAGATACAAAATTAAGACCCATTAAAATAAAATTACTGAAATTAATGGGTATTGGCCATGATTAATGGCTTATTTGAATGGCTGTCAAATTCCTATTAAAATAAAATTGCCTTGTATTTAATGATCCTTAAACTTCCATTAAAATTAGATGCTAGCAAACTTGTTGGCCATTTTTAATGGCTGTTAAATTCCCCATTCCCAGTATAATGGTACCCCCTTCACCCTTCATGTGCAATGTTCACTAGCACCTTAAAGCAGTCCATTGTCTTAATTGTAATGAATACTCAATGTTCACCATGGCTTACTTATGCTCGCTGTTCAGTTTCAATAATTACAAGATTTTCTTAATCTCATAATACTTGTAAGGCCAAATAAAAATATATGCCTGTTAAGGGTTTCCCCACCTACCCTATTTTTATGACAGAAAATGCCTACCTTAAGATTTTTTTGGCCATTTTTTGAACAAGCAGTGTTAAAACCCCAAATTTCCTCCCATTGACTCAAGGTAAATAAAATCAAAATTTTGGATTGACTGAAAAAAAATATGTAATGCTTGGTTTGTATAGTATAAAAAAATCTTGCTTGCTACAACACTCCCCCCCCCCCCCCCTTTTCCCCCCTAGAAAATCAAAATGGTATGTGCCTTAGCTTATGGTATTCAAACAGATCAAACAAGATAATAGTGAAAATCTGACAAAAATTGAAACCTGACCAGCGAACATTATTAAACAGTGACTATGGTCAGCTTAAACCTCACCCACAAACTGAATACTAATATTAGAATTATGTGTTAGATATAAATTTAAGGATATATGTAAACTTCTTTTCCTCTCTGTAATTAAACTTGCTGTCTCCGTACTTCCAATTAGAATTGCTGAATAAAGGTAACTGGAGTCTGCATGAAATCTGTTTTATATCATTACTGGCAGCTAATTTAATCATTTAATCCCCTAAAAGTACAAAAAAATCCACAAAGAATCAATTGTTCAAGACGTTATGAAGCAATAAATTCCATAGAAACATTATTGCATATATATAATACATTTGAAGCCATTTGGAATCAGATTAATTATCCCCCCCCCCCCCATTTGTTTTATCCCCTGAAGATAAAACTGGCTACTTATAATTTTCACCAAGGAATCATTCTCACAATTCAATTTAATTTTTACATATCTACCAGTTATTTCAAGGATTAAAAATAAAGCAACACAAGACTTCTGATAAACTTGTATGTCTCTTTAGGTGTCAGACTACCAATTCACCCACTCCAATTTAGAACATAAAAGTAACCCTTCCCTGACATAAAATAGTGCTTTTGGTGTCATTGTTTACTTAAACTAACCAACAAATTTGCAATAATGAAACTTTTGGTGAAAGACCATTTTGAGCTAAAATTTACTTGTCCATGAGTTTGCATAAAAAATTGAGGATTAATCTGCTCCATTGTATACTTATATAAAATTTCCAGAAAATCAGGGGTTATTTTTAGTAGTAGTTGCCTTCCGAACAGTCTTGTTTCACTACAAGACTTTAAACATTGGTTGAAAATTGGCATGTAGAAAGTTGATACATGTACAATTCAAGATATACCTGGTTTCTATGAAGTTAGGCTTAAGGTAAAATATTAAGAAAGCTGTGGAAATTGTAAAAAATGGTTGAATAGATAGGGATTTTGAATTGGTGGTCTGACACCTGGATGGTAGACTTCTAATAAAGTGAGATACCTGGCATTTGATTAAATGTCAAAGTTCAATAGCTACTGCCAAGAAAAGTAATTAGTCAGTTTAAGCTATGGGGTGTAATTAACACATCACCCGAGACAGAGATGCATCATACAATACTCTTTAAAGTCCACCGAGTTTCCATTCCTTTTTAATATCCAATTCCTTGGTGGGATATATAAATCCTTTATACCAAAATTATATCCACCTAATGTATGTTTCATCTTTCACTAACTTTGGTCAATGTTGGTTAAATGCCTGTAAGAATTTATTCTTGAATGTTTTATTTTCGGATAGAGAGTGACAACATAAGTTTAGCAAGTTCAACAAGTGGGCAGTATTATAATCATTCCAAAGAAAGCAGACCTAGTAATGCAAGCAGTACATATGCTGGACAAATGAGTGCAACAGAAAGTAGCAGAGGAGATGACCCACATGATTCATCTGATAATGAAAGTATGCGAGGTAATGGTCTCACTTTCTGATTCATACTCTTTTTATTCTCTGTACTAATAGGAACTACATATATTAAATTGTGATTATATTTTATACAACATTTTTTAGCAATTCTGATATAATACCTAGATCTTACGTTTGAAGAAACAAGAATTGTTTTCTATTCAATATTTCTTAAATCAAATTCAGTGCACCTCTACAATATAATTTAACATTTAAATAGTAGATTTCATAATGCCATTGTTATTAAACAATTTGTCTACCATTCAAACAGTTTTCTTTAAATGAAACAGGAGAGTTTGTGTTAATTTATTGCTCTGGTCAAATTTTCATGAAAAACAATCAGAAGAGAAGGCAAGATATTTATTCATTGTGTGGACTCCTGTCATATAATAGAATAATCCTTTGCTACTAAAAGGTATCATAAGTTTTTATGCTGGAATATAAGCCTTATGTTATCACTGAATAAGCTTTAACTGGCCAAATAATTACTTCCTTAAACATTATGAAAGCTGTGCATGGCCACTGAAAATAGTTTCTATGTCTTCTGCAGTCAATTGGTGTACTATTAACCTTTTTTGGTCTTAATAATATAATTCCAGAAGGAAATGTTCATTACTGATTAGGTATTTGACCATTTGACTATATAGTATTTGTTTTATTGATGCTAAAATAGTGACATTATCAAGTTCTCAATAATAAAAACTTGTATTCGTATTTCCTTCATAAAATTGTTGTGATTGATTGCATTAATTAATTTCGCATTTTGCCAGTGGTCAAGGGTTCGCAATAATAAATGCACACATTTATTTCTTAATTTAGAGTATTGAAATTTGTTTTGTGGACGAAGTGCTGGATTACAGATTAAAACTACAAAGTTACCTGAATGACTAAGCTCTTTTAACACACAAAGAACAATATTTTATAATTGCATTTTGGAAAAAGATTGATACTGACAAAGACCATTTGTTGTGCCGAGATGTTTGTCAATACAATACTATTTCCTCTTGTTTGTAGGAGGGGTAACTGCTTGGAGCAAATGCACACTGGTTTATCCCTGTCTCTCCATCCATTGAAACTTTTGTCATATTTTTCTCAGAACTACAAATCAAAGCTTCCTGTGAGCATGCTATATTGTGTAATGTGTGATGTCTGTTCATCTTCATCACTCATTAACTTTCTGTTAGCCGAATACGTATTTATTCTTACACATAATGCACATGTATGAAATGTTTGTCTTATTTGTCTCACATTCTACAAATCAGAGCTACCTGAAATTTGGTATGAAGTTTCATGTTTTATCATTAGTGAGCTAAAGTTTACAATTCAACTTGTTTCATCAGAAATAACACTTTGAAATGATAAAACTTTTTAACAGACAAGGGAGATTCATGAAACATTAGCTATTTTTCTTGTAATAATTGTTTACCTCCTTTAATTCTCCAAGACAGCTACATGTAGGTCATTGCTGACAGAATAAGTCATTCTTATCAATGGGTTATTCCAGGAGACTTTGCCATATGTCACTTTAATTGTTTTCTTTTCTGGAGTGTTTTTTTTTTAAAGATAGTCAGAATGAGGCAAAATGTTTTAACACAAATTTGTTTAGTGTACCTTTCTAAAAGGCTAAGGTGTGAGATTTCATTTCTCATTTGTTATCTCTTGTCCATATAGTTTTAAAAAGAATATTTTCCTCTTGGCTTAACTACAACCATCCTTAATGTGTGTAATTTAAAAAAAAAAATATCTGATGATCCTGTTGATTAAGCAACTTGATCCCCTATTAAATGAAAATAAAATTGACCAAAGAAAAATCCTATATTCTTAATATTTTATGTGAATGGGTACCAGACTTTTGGCAAAAAGTATATCTTTGATGCTTCTAAGTATTATGGTTGAATTATCTGCACATCAAGCATGGCTTGGCTACGGTGTAACGATGAATAAGAAATTAACAAAATTTTATTTTATACATTGATAGGCTGATTCAATAAAAATGGATATGTATCATAAAGTAGTCAAATATTACATAAAAGTTGTGCAGGTTAACTTATTTTCAGCTTATTAACTCAGTTTATGCATTGTTGTGTTGATCTGGTAAATTTTAATAATGAGGTGATATGTAAGTTTCATTCCGGAAGATTCCACTTTTGAGCTTATTATAGACAGAAGCCTTGAAAATGACAGTGTTTTGTTTTGTCATGCAAAAGGAGTTAAACTAGAAAGAAAATCATTTGTAATTAAAGCAAAATTATACAGTTATTTTCTTAATATAAGCTTAGCTGCAAAAAATCCATATAATACCATTTTTGATACACATGACAGAAAGTGTTGGAAGTCTCATCAATTTAAGTTTGTCAAGTCAAATTCAAACTGTACAGCCAAAATGTTATAAATATGAAGGATACTTGTCAATGAGACAGCAACCCAACAACACAAATAACCAAGAAGACATTTAGAAGGCAACAAACAATCATCTACAATATATAGCTCTTCATTGCCAGATTTAAAAAAAAGTTGTGAATGAAAAAAAAACAGAAAGTATCAAACAAAGATCTCTATCAGTGAATTAGCTGACCATAAAAGATCATACAATGAAAATCAATACATGAAAGCACTTCGCTCTTAAATAAGTTTATAATAGATACACAAATACACGACAATTAAAACAAAAATAAACAATATAAGACTGTATGAAAGAATGTTTTTGATTACTGAACACAAGTTCTAGTACTATAACTGCTGCCTTACACTCTAATATCTATGACTGTATTCGATAGATTGGTAATAATTATTATTTGTATTTATTGTTTAAATATTGATATACTAAATATTACTTGGTTAGTTAAAAGGAGGAATGACAATAGAGCAGAATTTTTTTCTCCCAAAAATCTCAAGTCAAAGGGCCATAACTAACTTTTTAAAATGATACTCCAGATAATATCGACTAAATGTTTAAAGGAATAGTCATAACAGTTTACCATTTTGCTTGTTTTATCAAATGTTATATTTAGATTTAAAAAAGGTCCATGTTTGATGGTCAACATGAACATCATGCATATATTTTAAGTAGACTCTTAGGGGGTATTTTGACCAAGATTAGTTCCAGAGGAGAATATTTTTTAAATAGTAAATAGACACCTGATAGCAAGTCTTTAAGTCAGGTGAGCTTATATTAAAATATTGTAAGAATCAGTATGTTGTAAGGTCAAACAGTTCCTATTGATATTGTTTTTTTAAAAACATTTTGCATGTAGAATATTGCTTATACTTCTGAAGCTGAATTGATATCTTGAATTTTCATCCTTCATTACAACATACTAACAACTTCTTATATAATGATAACTGATGTTTTAATACACCTTATCGCTATTCCCGCTTGACCCGAGAATCTGTTTGCTTGAACTTTTGACGTCATACAACAATCACTTTTCCATTGTGGCATCAGATATTTTCTATTATGACGTCAAAATTTTACGGGAACTTTTGTGATGTCCAGTAATGGCGGACAAATAGCGATAAGGTGTATTTAAATATCACCAGATTATTTGAAAAAATAGAAAACAAGTTATTCCTGTTAAACCACTTCCTGAAACTCAATAATGAATAATAAGGGGAGATCTTCAACTGAACATGTTATAATCAAAGAGGTTAAAACAGGTATGACACGGAATTTACTATTTTCAAGAGTTGTCTGAAAGAAATGACCTAATAGCGGATGAAAATTAGAGAATCAATTTAAAATGTCTGCATTCCTGCATGAATATTTATATCTCATTTCCATGGTTATGGCTGTTTATTAACAATTCTTTCCTTTTCTAACCAGGTACCTCTTCTGTTCCTCGTCATTACTCTTCATCCAATCAGCAAAGAGACAGTACACGCTATAGATATCACTGACCAATCATCTGCCCTGTAGCTTCCATGCCTGGTGTCTGCTTTTTGGACTTCCTTTATGTAACATGCATATTATTTATATATTTACATTAAATGTAACATGTAATCCTTTTTAGCTACCCTGGCCCCAAAATGCCAGAATGAGCAATTGCAATCACTTGGCGTCCGTTTTCTTTAATCTTTAGTTTATCTCAAATAAATTTAGGAAGACTTGGAGAAGTCAAAATTTCCATGTCAATGTGCCTCTGCAGCAAGTTCTAAGGAAGTAATGAATATGGTGTTCATATCCATATTGGAGGAACGACTTATCATTTGCCCTTAGATACAGAGGTTAAATCTCCCATATTTAAAGTCATATGAAACTTCAAATTTAAAAAAAAAGTTGAATATGTTTTATATACCTGAATGGCTAAGTTTTACTTTAAAACAAGTGTACATGTATTTTCCTATTAAAGAAAATCCTTTATATTATTAAAAACTTAATAAATGTACTGCTATTGTATAATAGTCTTCCCTTACACAATTTAGCAATATTTTCCCGTATGCAGTGATTTTAACTACGAGACCTCTTGTTAGAACTTCAGCCAGCGCAAGTGCAAGGGGGAAACCATGATGAAAGAATGATGAAATATTATTTGTGGATAATGCGTTATAGATTTGTAATAAATTTAAGAAACATGTATACAAGACTCAGTTTAGTATATATGCATTTGTTGGTTCAATAATTTCGATAACATTATAATTAAAAAAAACTCGTTTCATATGATTCAGTCGCTTATATGTAAAATAAAACTTTATTTCCTTTTTTATGCCCAACCTACGATAGTAGAGAGGCATTATTTTTTTAGGTCTGTGCATCCGTTCATTCGTTCGTTCATTCGTTCGTCCGTCTGTCCCACTTCAGGTTAAAGTTTTTGGTCAAAGTAGTTTTTGATGAAGTTGAAGTCCAATCAATTTGAAACTTAGTACACATGTTCCCTATGATATGATCTTTCAAATTTTAATGCCAAATTAGAGTTTTGACCCCAATTTCACGGTTTTCTGAACATAGAAAATGATAATGCGAGGGGGCATCCGTGTACTATGGACACATTCTTGTTTTAAATTAAAAT